TAGTTTTTGCTCACTTATATACTGTGTCTCTGTATAATTGAAAATGTCTTTTTCTTCAAGGTGGTTACAGTCAACGTTTACCAAATGCAAGTGCCCTGGGAAAGATTTTCACAGCTTTGCCTTTTGGCAATCCCGTTTACCAGATGCTGGAACTGAAGCTCGCCATGTACATTGATTTTCCTAGTCACATGAAACCAGGAATTCTCATTACGTGTTCAGACGACATCGAACTTTACAGCACTGGAGTTGCAGAAGCTGTCACGTTTGATAAACCTGGGTTTACGGCGTTAGCTCACCCTTCAGATTTGACAGTTGGGACCACTCATGGAGTGTTTGTTTTAGATCCGTCCAGTTTTTCAGGAAAAGGAGGACTTGAGTACGCGTCTTGCCATCGTTTCCTGCACAAGCCTGATATTGAGACGATGCGGCAGTGTGGCGCGGTGTGCGTTAGGGGGAATTCTCAGCCGAGTTCCTCTGGAGGCCACAGTGACTCAGAGATGGACTTGGAGTGTGTGTATACAGACAGTATATTTTACATGGATCACAGCACTGCAAAACAGTTATTGACATTTTATAAGCAGATGGGCTCTCTTTGCTGTGAAATAGACGTATATGGTGACTTCCTCCAGGCCCTGGGACCCAGAGCCACTCAGGATTACATAAAAAATACAAGTAATGTCACTGAAGAGGAATCACAGTTGGTAGCAGTACGGGAGAAGCTGTACTCTCTTCTGAAGGGAACCGCGCTTAACGTTATAGTCTTAAACAACTCTAAGTTCTACCACATTGGAACTACCCAGGAGTACTTGTTTCACTTCACATCTGATAGCAACCTGAAATTTGAGCTTGACTTACTGTCTGTGGCTTTTAGCATCTTTTCTGACGACGCAGCTGAGACCCTGGGTCAGTCAGCAAGTATCGTTCAAAGCATACTTGAGCCCGGGTGTCTCATAGGACCTGGGTCCGTTATTGAGTACTCTCGGATTGGCCCTGAAGTCTCAGTAGGGAAGAAAAGCATCATTAGTGGAGTGTGCGTAAATTTTAAAGTAGACATACCTGCGAACTGCTTTCTGAGTTCATTAAGTATAAAAATTAACAATCAAGTAAAGTATGTAAGTATGGTGTTTGGTGTAGAAGATGACTTGAAAAAAAGTGTGAAGTTGTTGTCAGATACGCATTCCCTCCAGTTTTTTGGAGTCAGCTTGCTAGAATGCTTGGACCTCTGGGGTGTCACGGTTTCAGACCAGCTCTTCTCCGGTGAGCACGCACATTTGGGGCTGTGGACTGCTAGGATTTTTCCTGTTTGTTCTACTTTAAATGAATCGGTTAGAATGTCGTTAAAAATGTTAGATTCTGTGCAGCACATGTCAGCCCTTAAACTGGATGGCTTCAAGCTCGTGTCTGTTGAAGAAATGCTCACCTACAAAGATGTAGAAGACATGTTGAAGTTTAGGAAGCAAATTTATGATGAAATCTGTCTGCAAGAACCAAAAGAGAAGTCTGGTTTGTAGAAGGAATGGTACTTGAACAAATTTCCCGTTTCCGTTTGTGGATGGTTGATTACTTCCCAGCTTGTAGAAATCACAAGGGAAAATTACACAGATCTTTTCTCTGATTTCATTGAAGTAGAAATAATGAAATTTCATTAACGTTGTTGTTGTAGCATAACATAAATAATGCAGCAAATACAGATAAACTATTCTTTTGATGAAAGAAGTAATGAAATATTTCAGATCTCTGAAAACACTAATTGGTATGCAGGTTATTATGTTTT